CCCCCTTACTCAGGTTTGTGTTTCAGTCACTCACGCAACCCACTATAAGCGAATCATAAACATATTGCAACACCCTACAACGGGAATCCCTCATGCTTGCGCGACACGGAGGGCACCATAGGACATCACCAAAGTAAAACATACAACTCATACCAATCTAGATCATCAATCAACCCAAAGACAAAGGATATCTACTCAAAACATCATAGGATGGCAACACATCATTGGATCATAATATGTGGCATAAAGAACCATGTTCAAGTAGGGATTACAGTGGGGTGCGGGAGAGTGGACCGCGTAAAATAGATGAGGATGGTGATGATGATGGTGATGTTGATGAAGACGATCACCACAACGACAATTCCCCTCTCGATGGCACTCCGGTGCCACCAAGAGAGAGGAGGAGAGGTTATCCCCCTTGTGCTTCCTCCTCCATGGCCTCCCCCTGGATGGGGAGAGGTTCCCCCTCTGGTCCTTGGCCTTCATGGTGATGATGGCCCCTCCGGGATCCTCCTCCATGCCCTCCGGTGATGATGGCCCCCTCCGGCAGGGTGCCAGAGAGGGCCTAGATTAGTTTTCGGTGGCTACAGAGGCTTCTGGCGGCGGAACTCCTGATCTAGGTTAATTTTACGAGGTTTCTGTATTTATAGGAATTTTTGGCGTCGGTCTCACGTCAAGGAGGTGCCCTAGGCGTCCACGAGGCAGGTCCACGCGCTTGGGGGGGGGGGCACCCTTGTGGAAGCCCCGGGACTCTCCTGGCCCAACTCTTTTACTCCGGGGTCTTCTTTTGGTCCATAAAAAATCGTCAAAAATTGGCACATCAATTGGACTCCGTTTGATATTCCTTTTCTGTAAAACTCAAAAAACAAGGAAAAAACAAAAAGTGGCACTGGGCTCTAGGTTAATAGGTTAGTCCCAAAAACCATATAAAATAGCATATAAATGCATATAAAACATCCAAGGTTGATAATATAATAGCATGAATACTTCATAAATTATAGATACCTTGGAGATGTATCAGAGCTGAAGGAACTGGGTTAAAATTAATCATGTCTTGCTACTGCTCAGGAGAAACATGCCCCTTTGTCTTCACAATATCCTCAATTGTATGGTCTTCTACAAACACAACATCATGACTTCTCACAACTTTCCTTGATACAGGGTCAAGTAGCTTGTAGCCAAACTCATCACCACCATAGCCAAGAAAGATGCGCTGTCATGTCTTCCAATCAAGCTTTGACCTTTCATCTTGAGGAATATGAACAAAGGCCTTGCACCCAAAAACTTTCATGTGGTCATATGAGATGTCCTTGTCATACCAAACCATGTTAGGAACATCTCCCTCAAAGGATAACTTGGTGAGAGATTAATAAGGTAAACTGCAGTCATCCAAGCTTCACCCTAAAAGTGTTTACGTAGCTTTGCACATCAAACATCTAATTCTGTCCATAATTGTCCTGTTCATCCTCTCAGCAAGATCATTCGGTTGTGGTGTCTTTGAGGGAGTAAATTGATGCCTAATACCTTGCTGCTTGCAATATGGATCAAATGGCCCAATGTACTCTCCTCCATTATCAGTGCGAATGCACTTGATCTTCTTATCTGTTTCTCTGTTAACCGAGGCTTGGAATTGCTTGAATACACCTAGTGATCTTTGGTCCTCAAAGTGAAGGCCCAAACATTCCTGAAAAAATCATTAATAAAAGTCACAAGATGTATCAAGAGATCTTACCGACATTTTGCAAACATCAGGATGTATCAAGAGATCTTAGCACCACCAAGAGATCTTGCTACTGCTCAGAAGAAGAAGAAGAAGAAGAAGAAGAAGAAGAAGAAGAAGAAGAAGAAGAAGAAGAAGAAGAAGAAGAAGAAGAAGAAGAAGAAGAAGAAGAAGAAGAAGAAAGCTGAATTTATAATGCTATGGAATTAATGTATTCACATGATCTACACTTAGAATGCCCTCTTTGTACCTCAAACATATCAATTGTTTGATCAAGAACATGTTCTTTGTACCTACTTTCCGGGCAAACAACCCTTCCAATTTCTTCTATAAGGTGTGTGCATGTGTCTCATCAATGATATTGTTCAAAATATTGTCATCGACCCATTGCTGAATAAACCCACAAGCTTGGCGATGAAGTACCTTCCACTGACCTTCCTGAATGCCCTCTGGCATCTCAGTGGAGAACACTGCCTTCCAGTATTCTTTGACATATAACAAGTCCTCCATCTTGCCCTTCCATGCTTGATAATTTATGACATTCAAAGATATCATCCTACCGGTATCCACTTCCATCTTTCACCATAAGAAACTCAGCAATTTGCACAAGCAAACCAAGAATCTGATGCCACTTTGTTGGGCTCTGGACAACAATAATGCAGTGCACAAATTCACCGACATGACAAATATGCACACTACACACCCCCTCCACCTGTAGTGAACTTTGAGGACAACTTCAACCAACATGTAAGCAACGGAAGAACACAAACAACATGCACATGTGACACATGATTTGACGTGGAAAAACCTCCTCAACTTGAGGATTAAAAAACTACGGCTGTGGACCGACCGGTCCACAAAACTTCACTATAAGAATAGTGAGTACAAAGTCTTATCTAGAACTTCTAGAGAGATTTACAACACACTCTCCATGTTGCCAACTGGCAACATCAACACCAATCACAAGAGGCAAGATTTCAGCAAAGCAGAGTTTACACATATTCTATCCTCTTCAGTGTTTTGCAAACTGATCTTATAAACTACAAAACCAAAGAACACCAAATTTGGCAGACAAGTAGTCACACAAGTCCTTGAGATCCCCTCAAAATTTCAGCCAAATTGGCCACCGTTTGCGCACTAAAACTGCTCGTCCCCCCAAACTACCCTGTTCTAAAACTATAGCAGTCAGAGCTAACAAAACCACTCTCAAATATGATGCTCCACTAACCCAATCCTCAAACCAGCTAACCAGATCGAAGTAGTCAAAGTAACTAATGAGCTCACCAAGTTTGTGGTTAATCCAAGCACGTTTGAGCCTCCAATCACCAGCTTGAACACTGTCTAGTCAGATGCAGCAAATCAGGACAAAACCTCCACTTATTCTTCTTCCTCTCTCTCACAGGTTGTGTTCCTCTCTTGTGTGTGCTCTCACATTCTCATGAATGGCAGCCACCACCAGTAGGGGTGGAGTGGCTAGGGTTTTCTCCTTGCTCCCTTCATCAGGGAACACTACAACCATTGGATGCAATGAAGATCAACAGTTCACATGGTTGGACTTGCGTGGGCTGATGTTGGGCTGCCAACACGCCTCCATGTGGAGGGACTTAGCCCAACAAGTGGGAGCCAAAATATTTTCTTGGGAAGGAGTCAATAATCCCCTTCGAAAACAGCAAGAGCAATAGCCATAGTTTGACCGTCATAGCAATTTGGGAAGGTGACCAATTTATTAGCAAAGTTTATTAACAATCCTTAAACACCTCCAAAAGTCTCAAGGATGGAGTGCAGCGCATCAACTTCGTGCTTGATGGGGTTTAGGAGGCAGGCTGCATCGTCAACATAGAGGCTGGCTCAGATGAAGGCGTGGCGGTGAGCAATAGGGCTGAGGATGCCCACATCAGTAGCACACTCAAGGATCCTCTGAAGTGGGTCGATGGCCAACAAGAAGAGGAAGGGGGAGAGCGGGCCACCCTGCCGCAATCCTGTTGGGTGGTAAAGTGTGAGTTATAGGAGCTCTATTGGGCAGGATGCATGAGGAGGATGTGGCCAAATAGAGTGCAATAAGGTCCCTACAAGAAAATCCCACGTGTTAGAGAACATCAAGTAGGTAATGCCATCTAACTGAGTCAAATACTTTGGCGATGTCCAGCTTGAAGAAAATTGAGCTTTTCTTCGCTCGATGTAGGCTCTGGCGAAGTGCTTGCCAGCCGTCTAGCTCCGAAGATGCATGGATTGATTTCCATCAGCTAGAGTGGTTTCTTGAGGGGACGATCCATCGTCCAAGATATTATGGACAGTTCACATGGCTTTTAACCTACCTCAGTTAGTATCCCGAATATGGTTGGAACTAGTTAGCTGGGCTAGCGCACAACTTAAGGTTCATATTCGGGCCATTTGGGTTCTTTGTATTGTGTTATTATAAGATTTTTCTTAATAACTCTGGTTTCAACAACATTAGAGTTTCAAGCTTGTCCACTGGTTGTCTGCAAGACTGCCCACTGGAACTGTATGCGATGGTCATTGTAGTATATAGATGCATGGGAGTCTGGCCTCTGTGTGCACAGTGGCAGAGACAGGGGGACCAGCAGGGCCTGCCCCCCTAACATCACCGATTTAATCCTAATATGCATGTAAACAATGATATGTATTTTCATGGACTGGCCCTCCCCAACAAGGCTTAGCAACACTTGGCCCCCTTCATTCGATTTTTCTGGATCCGCTATTGTGTGTAGCCACTTGAAAATGTAAACAATGACTTTGTCCGACTAATTTGGATGACAGTCTACCATAAGATTACTGCTGCATTTAGTGCTGACATGTGTATTTTTTTCCGTCGGGCAAACCCTCAAGATTAATATTTCACAATAAAAATGGTTGCGTGTAGCTTAAGGGCGAGTTCTTTTGGAGCTTAAGGGTTAACTAATAAGGTTCTAGACTAAAGTTTTAGCTTCGGCTGCCAGAATAAACTGGATATGGGCAACTTATTTTGACTGACACTCATAAACCCCAAAAGAACTGGCACTGCAACTGCAATGGATACTTGTCTCTGGATAGGTTTAGCTTCCCGAAGATATTGTCACACAAGAGAACAAGGCATGGATCATGTGGCCACGTACCGATCGGAGAGGCTGTCCATACTCCATAGACAAATTTACCAACAAACATGACATATATCTCCGTATGTACTGGTAGAGGACAAAAGGTTAAATTAACAATCTTAACTGATCGCATGGATCAGTGTGCAATTTTTGGACAACCCTCGACACAAAGTACTTGAAAGATCTCACTCCAATGCCTTGATCGACATGGTCAGATCCAAAGTACTCTGCCCCAGAACGGCCTCCACGCTGCCCCCTCTTGTCTTTTCCTGCCGCTGCATGGGCACGGAAGCTGCAGGTGGCATGAGCGAGAGCGAGATCGACAGCTTGTTGGCATGTTCCAGCTCTTGCTCGCTCGATGCAGCAGTGCTCTTCTTCCTCTTCTTGCTCGGTGTCCCATCTGTGGCGTCGATTGCCGTGGCTGGAGATAAGCTGAGCTCCAACTCCGGCGTCTCTACCGGAAGCCGTACCTTGTCGGCTGGTGTCATCAGAGCCCTCTGTTGCTCAAGATGCTTCTGCTTCTGGGAATCTAGGGCTTCGACGATCATCACGGGATCTGACGATATGGCCTTAGCAACCTTGCCGCCATCGCCACCGTGCCATCTAAACGGGAGACGATGGTCACCTTCTCCTGGCACGACCGACGTCGCCGGTGCCACTGCCATGGCCCTTGAGAGCGGCCCAGAGCCGTGGCCGGTAAAGTAACCAAAGCTCTCATCTCGCCTTTGCTCGCCGGCTCCCGCAACTGCGGAGGTTAATGGCCACCTCCTTACCGACGAGGACGCGAAGAAGTGCGACGTGGTCGAGGAGGCCTTCACATCATTCCTGGCTATCATGTCACGGTGGTCGAACGCCCAGTCTTGATTCCTGCAGATGTTCTTCATGAATTAGGGTTTCGATCTATCGATCGTCTCGGCAGAATGGCTAGGTTTACATGTCTAGTGATAGAATTTACCTGAAACTGCCGTTCTTGAAGCCAGATTGCATCGGAGATGGCCGGTGTTGGTGTTGGAGAATCCCGTAGAGGCGGCTATTGGTGTTCCCTCCTCCGCCGCCGCCGTTCCGTGACACGAAGAAGCCGCCGCGCTCCGCCGTTGAGGAGAGGGCGGCAGCTCTTTGGAGGAGCATGTCATGAAAGCGTCGATCGCCTCCCATTGAGTGGAAATCCATAGGTGAAAATACTGCGCTCACCACATGCCCACATGTAGAAGAAGAATACCCTCTCATCAGCACAAGTGTTTTAGGTGAATTAGATCGAAATTTTTGGGATTGATGAGAACCTGAGGAGATGGCTCCCCTGATCCGTTGACCGTGGTGGTCTAGCTTCTTGCTTCGGTACATCTGAAAGTAAATAGATCATAAACCGAGAGTGATATGCGAAGTAAGCGAACTAATTGAATTTTGCACGACATGATTTACCTGCAGATGGCTTTTCACATGAGCAATACTGAGCCCCCTAACATTCATCATCTGAAGCACCAGCTTAGGAGTAGCTCCTATATGAACAAGAAATCGAAGGTAGAAAATTAATCAGATTCAGTGAAACGAAACATGATCATAGAATCTCACGAGCAAACAACCGATCATCACAAGTAATTATTGCATGAAAAAGTTCTAGTACTTACTCTCTTGTCCACCAAGCCTCTCGACGGCGCGTATGAAGGCCATGTGAAGATCGGGCGTCCACCGGAGCCGAGGCAGCTTCGATCGGTTGTACTGCCGCACCCTATGCTCGCCGGCCCCGGTACCCTGTTGGGTCTCCGAAGCATGGTTGGTGCTGCTGTTGTTGCTGGAGCTCCGGCTCCCGGCAACATCGGTGGTGCTACCTCCATCCTCCTCCTCTTCATCGTTGTCGTCGCCGACTTCTCCATCATCGCTCTCCATATCGATGCCTTCATTGAGGTCCAGCGTCCTCCCGCTCATGGATCTCTTCCTGTCATCCATGGTGATCTTAGCTAGCACCTGCTTGTCCTCCACATCTCCAATAATCCTCTCCTCCTCCCTAGTTATCATCTTTCCTTCTTCCACTAAATATACTAGCTAGCTCTCACTCCCTCTTTCAATTCTCTCTCTCGATCTACACCGCCTGGACTGGATCAGAATCGTGGAGGCAGGAGTAGGAAAGGGGAAGGAAGAAGAGACCTAGGGATATTGGGGAACAATGATATGAAGCATACTAAAACATTGATATGTACTGTACCACTGGTGTGTGAGAGGAGAGGAAGCATAAACAATCTAGTGACGTGGGAATAAAATATGAGGGAATTGGACAGGCATTCTCCTTGTACATTGACTGGTTTTCAACAGTTTACCAAGCAACAGATGATGTGCTTAGTTCTGGACCCTTTCCTTGGGTCTGGTTTGTAGCTATATATGTAGGCATGAGTCATACTACCAGAGTAAGTAGGTACAGCCAGAAAAGCTACAAAGCTGGTAGGCAAAGACAGAAGCTTTTGGTTAAGTTCATGAGCTAAATGTTCCAAGCATACTTTACCCAGGTACAGCAGCAGTGAGCCAGTGAGATCTTTGTCATAAGTTTTCTCTCTTTCCTGCAGTTGGCTAGGCTGCATGCACGAGCGGGATGGGGTAGCTCATGTGACCCAATCTGCCAACCTGGCTCTGACTCCAAAAGCATCTTGTGCGCTAGTTTTCTTTTGGGTTGGGACACTGACCCCCTTGTCGTGTGGATCTGAACTGCCACTCCGTGAAATGGAAACAAAGCTTTGGTAGTTGACTGCTGCCTGCCCCGGCTTTTTGGCTGGCTATTTGATTAATGAGCTAAAAGGGGCAGATATGTGCGTCTTGTCTTTGGTCAATTCATGACATACATGCCCCTGTATTTATTACACCCCAAACCTGTATTGCATAACCTCAAAAAAAAACCTGTATTGCATTTTTAATTCTCACGATTGTAAAATTATAGGAACAGAAAAACAATGTCATGCCCATTCGAATCCTACATGATGTAAGATTATTTGATGGCATAATTGGAAAAAATAAAGGATTTTTTCAAGAAATTTTCTTGTTGCGGGAGAAATTTCCGATCTATTCATAATATGTCGTGACAGTACAAAGAACACCAAAAAATACAACCATGTCCGTGAACTACCTAGCGACGACTACAAGTCGTCATCACTCATCACCCCTCTCTCACCGGAGCCATAGGACGAGCGCACTAGAATTTTATTTTATTGTAGTAAACGGTTAGAAAGTCGTTGTGTTTAAGGCCCCACAAGACCAGCGCAATAAAAGAACAATCGTCGCCGGTGAAGAGAAGCGTAGGTCGGAAGGATCAAACCTATAAACATAAATCCAAATAGATCCATCGAAGACCAGCATCGGCCGAATCTCGTGAGATCCGATGAAGACACGCCTTCACATGCCTTCTGACGACGCTAAACTCATCATCAGGGCGGGGATTAGGTGTGAGAGACATTATTCATACTACGGGACATCACTACCATCACACAGCTCCAACCGAAACGTTGAACCAAACAAGAACAAGAGTAGGGGCACTCCCGCTGGGCGGGGCCTGGGGACCTCCACACCTCCATGGCCTAAAGGCCAAACAGATGCTAGATTTCTTATGAAATGTAGTACAAATGAATTCTTAGGAAAAAAAATATAGGATTGAATCTTACGAATTAAACAGCCAACGTAGATTTTTTTAAAGGATTCTAATGCTCTAAAAATCCTTTGAATCAAAGGGCCCCTTATGTATAGTCCAGATGCTATATAGCTATAGATTTTTCTCTAACATGGGTAGCACTATAGCTACTGTATTCATTTGCATAATCGCATGATCCATTAATACGTTGATCAGATTCAAGATGACTCTAGAGGAAAATAAACACGTACGCACATACGGCCTAAGAAATATGACATGTAAAATAGACCTTCTGGTTCGCTAGCTGTTGGTCGTTTGGGCGGTTTGAGGGTAGAAAGACGTAGGTATCATGCATGCGGTGCGTCGGAGAAAAGGGATACGGCGATCACACGAACGGGCAGAATGTGGTTGCTTGTCACGGCATCCATGCCTGCGACCCTCCTTACATGGGTGGAAAGCTTAGAAAGGGAAAAAGGAATTAAGACCACCCGTTTCTGTGACACTGACGAACGAGCACAGCAGTCGGCCGGTGCCTATAGTTGAATATATAGTTAAGCGCGCCATGTCATGTGACATAACCGTGTAAAGCTTGTTGCTCCCTTTCATGACTCGTAGAAGCTAGGCGTTGGACGGTGGAGAAGTTCTACTCTTGAGGATAAACGAACATATCTAATTAAATTGTCGTTCTGTGTGTAGTACTGTTGCATGAGCCTTTCAAAAAGAAAAAAAGAAAACTGTTGTATGAGTCCAGATTCCAGATTTGCTACGTACGGTACCCATCAATCGTGGTTTTGATAAAAAAAATTCCATTCTCAACAAGCTGTTAAATTTTGGGGAAACCCTTTGCGCCGACAGACCGGCCGAGCGTTCCACCTGTCCCTCTCGCTCGCTTCCTTATTTTCACGCGGAGACAGGCTGGCACGCATGCTAGGCGGGCCTCAAGCTAGACGCCCTTCATCTCTTTCACGTTTCTTTTCTTCTTTGTTCTTTGCTTCTTCTTCCTCTCGCCTACTGCTGATTCCATCTCGTCTCCCGCGCTACTAGCTCGCCAGCGTTGGCAGCACTCCTCTCGCTATAAAATTTGCTCTATTCAGTGACAAAAACCCTGGTAATGGAACATGAAACATTGGCAAACCTTATATTTTTTGAGATCTCATTTGCTTATATTAAAATTATCGGTGTGGGGCCAAAACACAAAATATATACTTACAATTACACTTAATTATCACCTCCGCTGTGTAGGGCCACTTGACAGGTACAAAAATAACCCATTAGCAGAAAGAAAAAATTGAGCCCATGGACTCGTGATGCCTTTGTCGTCGTGACCGCCCGAATAACATGCCGCTGGCATGGTCACCACCTGAAACTGGATGAAATGGTAGTGCTTATCACAATTTAGATTGAAACTAGACTGGACATGAGAGGATTTAATGAACAACTTCATAAAACACAAGGATAATACTTAATATCATTATAAGATATGCAAAAGTTCATACATAATTGATACGTCTCTAACGTATCTATATTTTTTTATTGTTTCATGTTATTATATTATCAATCTTGTATGTTTTATATGCATTTTTATATTATTTTTGAGAACTAACCTATTAACCTAGTGCCCAGTGCAAGTTCCTATTTTTGCCTATTTTATGGTTTCGCAGGAAAATAGCACCAAACGAAATCCAAACATGATGAAACTTTACGGTGATTTTTTCTAGACCAGGAGTGACCCTAGAATCTTTGGGGGGAGACCAGATGTCGCACGAGAGAGGCACAAGTTCACACGACGCGCCCCCAAGGGGTGCCGTCTGAGCTTGTGGCCCCTTCGCAACTCCGTTTGACCTAATTTCAGGCCCATAAATTCCCTAAAATCCAGAAACCACCAGAGCGATACTCGAAACAATTATTCCACTGCCGGAAGCCTCTTTTCTTCCATGATGCATATAAAGTCCTCCATCGGTACTCTGCTGGAGGTGGAATCGGTCACTGAGGGCTTCTACATCAACCTTGCTGCAGCTCTGATGATGTGTGAGTAGTTCCTCACGAGGCTTATGGGTCCATAGTAGTAGCTAGATGGCTCTCTCTCTCTCTCTCTCTCTCTCTCTCTCTCTCTCTCTGTTCTTCAATACAATGTTCTCTTTGGAGATCGATGTGATGTAATCCTTTTATGCGGTGTATTTATTGGGATCCGATGAACATGTAAAAACCCTGTACTAATGAGCTACAGTAACCCCTGAGGTTAAGCTAATAATTTTGCTAAAATAGTGCTTAGTCATCTTTGATCAATATCTCATTTGAAATTCCACTTGAAATCAAATTCAAATTTTAAGTGAATTACAGAAATTCTCAAACATGAAAACTAAATTGCTCATAATGCTGCAAATAATCCATAACTAATTATGGAAGTGAACCAATATTTTTATAAAGTGTTTTAGTGCCCTACAATATTTAAAACAATGGCCTAAACAATAATTTAATTGCTTTTTAAATTGTAAAAATTCTAAACTATTTTATTTTGGTGCCAAACTTTTTGTCGTAGTGGCCTCCTTTAATATACTTAATTAGGTGCAAGTTTTGTATTTAATGAACCTAATTTGTTTTAAAAGGGAATAAGAAAATAGAAAAAAGGAAAAAGTTCTAACCTACTGTGCACTTGCGGCCTGCTGGCCACAATGCGGCCCAGTCCACCGGGGCTGGCCTTTCCCCTACGTCCTGCCAGCGACATGGAGAGGCCGAAGGCCATGGCCAGCGCCCGACCCCCCTCCCCCCTCGCCACTATAGTCCCCCCCCCGGAAGGATAAGAGGAGCCCCCATTGCTCCCTCTCGCTCCCTTTCCGAACCCTAGCTCACTCCCCCTTCCCCTCACGCCGCTCTCTCTCGACCCGCAACGACCACCATCGCAGTCGCCGTGCCCGTTGTCATCCGCATGGCCACCATCCTCCCCGGCGCCTGAAACCCCGTCCGCGAGCTGCCCCGACCTCTAGCGCATCGCCTGCGCCCTGGAGTTCAACCTCTGTGTTAGACTGTATATATACTGGGCCTACATGTATTATAGTTGTAATTGTATCTTGATACGTCTCCAACGAATCTATAATTTTTTATTGCTCCATGCTATTATATTATCTGTTTTGGATGTTAATGGGATTTATTTTACACTTTTATATTATTTCTGGGACTAACCTATTAACCAGAGGCCCAGCCCAAATTGCTGTTTTTTTTGCGTATTTCAGTGTTTCGCAGAAAAGGAATATCAATCGGAGTCCAAATGGAATGAAACCTTCGGAAACATGATTTTCTCAACAAACGTGATCTAGGAGACTTGGAGTGGGTGTCAAGAAACAATCGAGGAGGCCACGCGGCAGGGGGCGCGCCTACTCCCCCTGGGCGCGCCCTCCACTCTCGTGGG